TAAATTCGAATATTTTTATTTAGTATAAAGGAAATACCGGTTAACCTAGTAGTTAGGATAGACTATATAAGCTAGTAGCTATTAATGAGGAGAACTATATACTAGCTCTATTATATAGTAATACTACCTTTTATTTGACCTCTATAAAGCCCTTCTATATAGGGAATATTAAGGTTATTACTAATGGCCCCGAACCTGAACCTGTTCCTGAATCTAATAATAAGGCTAAAGGTAATACGGGTATAATTCCTCTTGCTATTTTACTAAAGTATAATAGAGGACGCCCTTATAAGATCCCGGATATTATGGTATTCCTATAGGATAATGAACTATATAAGGATTCCCGTTAAGTTAAAGTTACTAGCCTCCTGGAAAAGAGTATATTTAAGGTTACTTCTAGATCTCAGGTACTAAAAAAGATATATATCTTTAATTCCCGGTTTATTAATGAGATTAAGAATAAGGGTATAAAGAAAGAGCTTAAGAAGTCGAGACTAGTTATTTAAGCTTATAATAATAGTAAGAAATATATAATATTAATATAATTATCTATTATCTAATATATTAGTTAGAGAATTATTCTTAGTATTATTACTATAATAATAGATATTATAGAATTATATTTATATAATATCTCGCAAGCTTATATCTAATTAATAACCTTATTTAATTATAATTTCTATATTAATCTATTTTATAAGCTTACTAGAGAGCTAAATCTAAAGAACGATTTTGTTCTAAAGGTTATAAAACTACTATATAGTATACCGGAAGCTAGGAACTACTAGTTTAAGACTTATTATTCCTATTATATTAATGAGCTTTCTATAAAATAGTTAACTTATAATCCTTATCTATTTTATAGTAAGTAATTCTTCGGAATTATTAGCCTTTAAACTAATAATACCCTATTTATTAGAACTAATAATTTTATAAAGGTAAAGTAACTAAAGCTTTATAAGGCTAAGTTCTTGGCTAAGAAGCGTGAATTTCTTACTTTTAACTATAATCTCAAATTTAATAGAGGTATTATTTATATAGATATTACTAGAATTACCCTTATATAAGAATACTAGTATAAGAACCTCTAAACCGTTTCTATAAAAAATACTACTACTATAAGTAGTAGGAGTACTATTTATTAAAATCTCTTTATTAAGGACTAATATATTACCTAATATATGAGAGAAATATATATTATATTAGTCTATTAACTAGAAGCTTTATATAACTTATTAATTATCGCTCAAGCTATTAAATTCTCGGAAACTAATATAAAGGCATTTAATAAGTATATTTAATAGTAAATTGAAAATACTACTAGAGAACTAAGATTTATAAAGCTAGTAAAGGAGTTCTTATATTTAATTATTTTTATAAATGCTTTATTTATAAATAATAGAGATCTCTTTTCCCAAATCGGATATATTCTAGTTCTAGTAAATAGAACTAGATATACTAATATTATTTACTAGTTCTCTACTAAATATAAGAGAGTTACTAGAAGCGTTCTAGCTTTGGAACTCTATAGTATGGCTTATGGTTTTAATATAGGCGTTTTAGTCAAATCTATAATTAATAAAGTACTAGAAATAGAATTATTACTAGTTATCTATATGAATTCGAAGTCGTTATATAAATGCCTTATTAAATTAGGTACTACTCGAGAGAAATACTTAATAATTAATATAATATGCCTTTACTAGATATATAAATAATGAGAAATTACAGAAGTCAAGTAAATTAAGGGAGAATTAAATCCTGCTAATTCCATAACGAAATCGAAGCTAATAAATGTCTTTAAGTATCTAATTAATATAAATACTATATAATTAGATATAGAGAAATGGGTCGAGTATGAATAGGATAGAAAATAAATATATGAGATAAGAGAATATTATAAGAGGGGAAGTTATATATAAAAGGCTATAGCCTTTAGTATATAACCAAAACCCCAGAAGTAATATGGATATATAAAGCGTTTGGGAAATCTGGTACTAGGCCGGATTAGGGAATTTGTATGTAATTAGAGGAAGATATTATTTTTTGTATTTTTAGAAAGTTTCTAGTATTAGTATAATTATTCCTCTGGAAGTTATATATATAATTACGGGACACGGGATATGGGATATAAGTAATGGGATATAAGTAATAAGATATGGGATATGGGATATAATTATATAACCTTATATCCTATTAGTAACTCGACTAGTAGACTAGACCCCTTTAGGCTTAGCAGATTTAGGGATTACATATTAATACTATAATACTATAATTCCTATTTCTGAATAATAACTTTACTAACCTTAAATAAATAGTACTTCTATAATTATATAATAATACCATATATTACTAGTAAACTAATAATATTAAATATAATTAATTAAGTATATATATATTATAATATAAAATAAAAAGTTTTTTAATAAGAACTTTTATATATAATATATAAATAAATATAAAAGAAAACTTTAATTCTATAAGGGTTTTAATATATTTAAAATTTAGGAAATTACTTTATATATAAAATAATTATATAAGTATTTTATTTTATAGTCTTATAATAATATATAAATTATATATAGTAGAACCTTACTATAATAATCCCTTGATATAATAATTAGTTCGTATATCTCATATAAAAACCTTATAGTATTATTAGATATTTTCGGTCCCAAATCCCTATTACTATTAAAAGTTAATAATAATTTTATAATATTATTAAATATTCTCGGTCCCGAGGTAATTATTATAGCGAGGTTCTACTATAAAATAAATCAAGTATTTAATTTAAAATAAGCTTATATATATTTATATATTAATAATAATTTAATTTTCTTTAATTTTCTTTAATTATATTATATTTATTAAAAAGATTATATAAGTATTTATATAAATAATTTTTAAATAATAAATTAAGATCTTTAATATTTATAATAAAAATAGAATTTAATAAAAGTTAAATTTATTTAAACTTGAAAATTATATAAAATTATTAACTTCTTTTATTATAATATATAAAAGAATTATATTAATATCTTTAGTAATTATTTAGTAAATAATAATTTAATATTCTATATTTATTTCTAATATATTAGCCTTAAATTATAATTAAATATAATTTAAAAATTATATAAAAATATTTAAAGATATTATAATATAAAAAGTCCCGATTATTATTTAAGAATTAATATATAAAAATTAATATAATTAGACTATAATTAAATGTTTTAAATTATAAGTATAATTAGAGGCTAGCCTTACTTATAGGCAATTCCGTACCCAGTTCGGGCTAGCTTACTAAGCTTGCTAGTTGTACTATATCCGATATTTTAGTAATTCTAATATTAATTTTTAGTTATTTTTATTATATTAAAAAATAATTATATATCTAATTAAAATAATTTTTTTTATATAATTATAGCCCTTATTTAGGTTAGTTATTTCCTAATATAGTATTTTTAATTAAAGTATATCCGGTTATAGTAATAATTAATTAAGTAAATTATTAAAGCTTACTAAGTAGCCTTAATATAACCCAAAAATCGCGTTTAATTTACTTCTTAATAACTATTTTATACTTATCCAAAGTATTAAATATATATACAAGCAAGTATATAATATAAATGGAAGGCTAAAGAGACTAATATTATACTAAATAATAAGAGATTCCTGTACTTGCCTCTTAATATATAGTAAAAGTAAATATAATATAATAATTCCAGCCTAAAAACTAATATTTCTCTCTGTAGCGCAAAGGCCAAAACAGGCTGTATAAGGCCTATATTGTATTATTTTGACAGACTAATTGAACTCTATAGTAATATAATTTTTTTATTGCGATATCTTATGTAGTTACATTAATATTTAATTAATTATATAAAATGTCGGAGTTACTATAACTGATGAGTATAGTAAGGCGGCCCAAACTGGGTGAGGATTAGCCGACGAGTATATAAGCAAAGGTTAAGCATACCTTTATATGAGGTTATTAAATATAATTCTTTCACTAGTCGGACCGAATAACTCTAATAGGTAATGTTGCGGTGGTACCTCTTATTTAGGCATAGTGCGATCGCTCTGCTTAGTCAGGCTCTGTGCACCCATATTCTGGAGTTCTCACACTTCACTTGAGCTCTTTTCTAGCTAGCTTTTAATCAACTCTTTTACTAGAAATGCAGCTCTCTCCTCTGCTTATTTACGTGCATTAGGTAAGTTGTGCATTTCTTACTTAGACTAAACATTCTTACTATTTATTATATATATACGAGTGCGACAATAGATCATGACATTGTGGAGTCAGGGAGGGTTGCGCACGCAAATAGAGGTATTTTGGTTGCGGGCGATTTTTGGCAGGGTAAAGCAGGTAGGTCTTACGTTTTGCGTTTCACGTTTTTCCGTAGGCATCGGACAACAGCGGTCTCATAAAGTGGGTTGCATAAAACGGGCTGGGACTTGAGATCCTTGAATATCAACTGCAGCCGCTCTCCTGACTCGCCATTGGACATAGCAGGGGCATAACTCCCAAAAAGTAATCAACTAAACCTCCTAGCGATCATTAGATAAGAAATGTGGGGGGAAAGGCGTTCCATGCAAGCTGAATCGAATGAAAAGCGTGGAGAAGAAAGTGACAGGAAAGACAAAGATAAGTCCATTATTTCAGGGGGTGGTGCTGCACGCTGCGGGGCATCTAGCTACCCCGATTTACAGTGTCGCCTTTCAATTGGAATGTGATCTAGATATTCGGCGACATTGGAAAACCAGTCAATCTTTCTCTTAATCAACTACTTAATTAATCCATAAATAACACGTGCACCGTAGTTGCACCCAGATTCACAAAGTGGTAAGCTTACAAGCCAGCTTAAGGTTAACCTTACGGATCGCCTCGGCCAAGCACGCCAGCCATCTTTCCGCCTCGTCTCTTCACCTCCTTCAACCTCAACACCGAAACCTCATCTACTCAATTGAACTTCCCAACCTTGCCGAACAAAGCAGACACAATGGCAACCGAAGTAGCAGCCCGCGCCTTCTTCGCTGCGCCCTACTTCGCAGTCGTAGGCGCATCCTCCGACCCCACGAAATTCGGACACAAGAGTACCTCTCCATCCCTTTCCGTTTCCCTTTCCCTTTCCCTTTCCCTCCCCTTTGCCCTTCCCATCCCACTTTCCCCTCCCTCCCCTTCCCTTCACCCACCGCTCTGGCCCAGCCTCCCCCCTCTTAACCAAACTGACAACCCCAGTATTCGCCTGGTATACTCACCACGCTCTCCCGGCAACGCCAATTAACCCCTCATCCACCAGCATCTCCATCGCCTCACAATCCTACCCCACACTCGCCTCCCTCTCTCTCCTGCCCCACCCAACCGAAACATCTGTCTCCATTATCACACCCCCGAAAGTCACGAAGAAGGTACTAGAGGAAGCGAAGAAACTGGGGATTAAAGGCGTTTGGTTGCAGCCGGGCAGTTTCGATGATGAGATTCTGAAGGATATGCTGGACGGGTGGAAGGAGACGGGCGTTGGGGGCGATGGGGGGAGGGGTGGAGAGGGCTGGTGTGTGCTTGTTGATGGGGAGAGGGTGGCAAAGGCTGCGGGGGTGCATAAGTTGTGAAGGGAGAGAGAGATGGGATGGCGTTCTGGGTTGGGGATTGAACTGGAGTACCGCATACCCGCGTAATGATTGATGAAGACGAACTGCAAAGATCTAAAGATGGATCGAGATCATGACTGGATCGCTTGGGGTGGATTTGAGCGGAATACTGGCATGATCACCACGGAAATAGGATTTTCCAGCTGGATGTATGGGATGAACATCGCGGCCCCATGGCCTTGCATAACATTGGGAACAAGATGTGTGCTTCAGGGGTTCTGCCATTTCGCAGCGTATGGTCAGCACATTTGCATGGCACGATTTCCACCAGCTTCGTAAGTGTGGAATATGAGCAGGTCACCCTTTGTGACCTTTAAGGAATGGTGGTTAGGGACTTTCAAACCAGATGCCTTCACTCCTCTTTGTCCTCGATCACAGCATCTTAGTCAATTCCTAACAAAACGTTCCCGTTTCACTAACATGGATCTTTGAATGACACATCCGTCATGCTCGAGCCTGGCACTGGAAGGGAGATGAGCAGAGAGGAGGGCAACTTGCATTAATTCGCGGGTTGTTGAGACAGCCTTTCAATCACAACCTTTATTTAGTCTTCTTGCACTATTGCCAAGTTCTTTCCTCCGGCTGATTTTTGTTGTCACTCATGAATTTGTTGTCAACCTCCTTGAAAATAATTCGACATCCGCGAATAGTAAAGGATTATTCGTCCCATACTTTGCTCATTACGTTGCGTACATATTGTTTTCGTTGTCATGCCATTTAGGAGGAGCCTTGGCTCGTGGTATTCTCAGACATTGAAGTTGCCTTGCTGGACATGTTCGAGTTGGTGTTGCTTGCTGTTAAGGTTTAAATACCCCTTCCTTTCCCCACAATGGAAGAGTGTGAATGTGGATGGATTGTGGCGAGGCCAATTCGCCGAGGCTCGAGGCTCGAGGCACTTAAAAAACTCGCAAAGTGCGGGTTCTTGCCGAGTGAATATCAAAAATAACCCCCAAAAGCGAGCCGACACTAAGTGAAGAAGTTGTGAAAGCGATGCAGTTTGGATTCGTGCGTTGTGCAACGAAACATCAATGTTCTAGGAACAGTAATTCACTTGAATGTGAACGTGAGGCTGAGTTGATACAGATACTCACATTCTCTGCATTTCAAAGTCCTGAAAGGGCTGGAACATTTAGAATCTCCTCCTCGATTCCTAACCTGGACTGGAAGTCTCGAAGCCCTCACCGACTACAATCAATGATGAGAAGTCACAGCAAGCAACCCAACTCGTTCCATTACGCCATTTCTCCTTCAGGTTTTGGTTGCCTAAAGGCTTCGTGCTTCTCCGGTTTCCAAGGCCGAGGTACGAGTTCGGTGATCACGAGAAGAGAGTTACGCGAGTAGAGTTCACCATTCGGAAAGGAGAATTGGAAGACCCCTAAATACGAGCTTCACATCACGAGGAGATGCTTTGACCACAGAAGTTCCGAGATGCGAGGTAATTTGTACCAGCTCACGGTTACGAGCATTACTCTAAGTAATCACTAAACAGCAAGATACGAGCAGCGTTTGCTCGTCAACCCATTCCAGGAAATCGATGTTCACCGTCAGTTCGGATCTCAGCTTCTTGGCAGCTGAGTTCACGCCTCGGCTGACGCACAGTTTACGATGTGCTGGTCTAGCTCTTGCGCCCAGGCGATGTTGCCTCCTCAGGTTGAGATGGTGGCTACCTGGAGCAGCGGGGTGAGATCTGACAACCAGCGGGTCACGTGCTATCACACTTTGAGGAGAGGAAAGAATTCGCGACTCCTCTTTGGCATTCTCTGACTTTCGTCCAACTCTAAAATAAGACTGGCGTTCAATACCTTCCATGATTTGTCAGGCCACAGTCTTCCGTTCGCTGCGGCCTGCCTCCATTTGTTGCATATCTGCATATCGCGTGCAATGACCATCAGGCAATCCTTGCAGCATCCTTCTCATGCTCCTCACAAGGCTGACTGCGCCATCCGTGCTCCTTCGCACACCCTCGCACACCCTCGTTCTCAAGGCTGCAGTTTCTCGTATCATGATTTGTCGAGCTGCACGAGGCATCTGATTTTACGATGTCAGCCTGTCAGGCGTCACCGCCTCATGGACGCCAGCTCCACTGCCACGCTGGAAATAGCATGATCACCCAACCCCGCAGACGCCACCAGAACCCCAGGCCCCGCTGTCAGCGTAACCTTATTCCAAAGTTACACAACCTCGAAAAGTCTGACATTCTGCAGGCATCCTACGGTTGTTTGCCAGAATCACCAGACCATCAGGGCAAGTAATCTGCTGCAAGCGCAGTTTCATACACTGGTGCTTTGCGTTATCTTTGATTGCTTTCAAGTTGCGTTCCGAGAGACAAACTCCATTGTTCATCGTCCTCGGTTTCTTGCTCTGGAGGCTCTTACTGTGTTTATCATGCACGTCAGACTTCGCCTCGGAGCCGGGAAATGGGATGCGGCGGAGGACGCCATCTCAAGAAATCGTGAGCACACTCAACTCAGCCCCCAAGCCCAAGTCTTCCGGCTCTTCGTGTCAGATGATAACTTGGCTTCACTATGCTCGATCATTGGAAGTTTCGTTGTGCAGCGCTACGTGAGTGAGCACGCAAACACGATGCTCAGCTCTTGCCATGGCTTGGCCCTTCCTGTGAGCATAAGCCTGATGATCAGTAAGACTTCTCCAACGTTCACGTATATAACACTCAAGATGTTCCTGCTGGATGATATTCTTTTCATCCTCATCACACTCTCAAACCCTCAAACACTCTAACAATCACCTGATCTTTCTTTATACACTTCACATCCAGCTCATCTTCACCTCCACCTCAGACAAGATGTACTTCTCAACCCTCTGCGGAGTCGCTGCTGCCTCCTTGGCATTGGTCAGTGCCACTCCCATCCAAAAGCGCTACAACACCTACACCATCACTTTCATTGGCGCCGCCGGTGCACAATACACGGTCCCCGTCCCCTTCGACGGCCAATCCCACGACACCGGCAACGCGCTCTCCATCTCCAGCGTCTCGGCCCCATCCCCGGTTAACATTGCCGCCCAATGCATCCTCGAGACCGTCGACTTCCCCCCCGCGCTCGTCAGCCAAGGCCACGGCGTCTGGACTGTCGGTCCCCCACAGACCGTCCTATCAATCTCCTGCACTGAATCATCCTCGCCTCCTCCTCCACCACCATCAACAGACTACGTAACCATCGAGTTCGACGGCGCGGACCCATCGCTCGGCGCCAAGTTCAGCCTGCAAATCCCGCTTGATGGCGCTGCTCACAATGTCAACAATGCGCTCTCTATCTCGGCTGTTGTCGAGACCTATGGAAGCATCGATCTGAGCACCAACTGCAAGTTCGTCGGTGTCGATTCGAACAAAGGCCCTGCGGCCGCACCAGTCCTGGCTCCTGCTGGCAGCAACAGATGGCAGGTTGGCCCGCCTCAGACGATTCTGAGTGTGGCCTGCTTCTTGCATGCCAACCCCGGCCACTAGATCCGCACTTTTGTGAGAGGAATGGCTTACGAATGGATGAATTGGGATAGATGGCGCAGATTAGGGTTTTAATCAGTCTGAAAAACGGATATTGCATCAATTGGGCATTTGGGTTTGGATTTGGATTGCATTTAGCACTAATCGGGCATTGGGCGGTGCATTAAACAGTCCTTGCATTTGCTTTGCAGCGCCTCCTTCAGCTGAGTGGTTAGAAATAAAATACCACACCTTTCAAGATCCACTCCTCTCTTGGCTTCAAACTCGCGGCATTTTCTAGAATTGACTTGAGCTCCGAGTCTCTAAAACAACTCCGGTTCAAGTTTTGGAATTCTGCATAGCCATATTTAAATCTCTCTCCCAGTGCGTCTGGTAGCTACCACGTTCCGGCATCCGATAATCGCCATCCCGCCCCATGGGTCTCCAAAGATGCGATGATGATCACGATTAACAAAAACCTTGTGTAATGCGACGTTCCAAGCCCCATCGGTTGTTTCCCCATCTAGTGGAAGTCGTCAGACAGAATGACAACAGCTAGAGAGTTGACAGCAAAAGGCTCTGGACATTGGATGAACCTAATGTTTTTTCCAAGTTCCACATTTTGAGAAAGTTTTGCTGTTCAGGTTCAAATATGTTTTCCAACCCTACACTCAACCGTTGACTTAATAAGATATCCTCAGTATAAAAGTGGTGTCGTGAGCTAGAAATCGATATAACGACCACTATCCTGCAACAAAGTGTGAGGCGTAGCAATTAGGCGATTCCACTTCCACCGATCTACAGTGGACTTGTGTTTAGACATCTGGGGAATTGCTATCTTGTTAAGTTGTGGAATGTGGGTTTGTGTTGCTAGGGAGTAGAGAGACAGGGAATGCAAGGGAAATGATAAGGGTTCTAATGTCAGATGTTTTCTTTTGTTAAGGAAGTTTTACTGTCAACTTTTGACAAAAGAAAACTCGCTCCTAGCATTTATTCAAGGAGGTGAGGAGCAATAACAACAATAGTTCTTACATTGCCCCGTATCGCACTCGAATGCTCCTCATCCCCCACTACCAACACAGCGAAGTTTAAGTCTCGAGAGGGGGAACCAAGTCCAACTTACGCAGCAACAAGTCGATGTCAGCAACGGGAAACTTATTATCTTCCTTCTGCCATCCCTCGACATTGACAACGAAGTTCAGAAGGCTACAAGGCGGTAATAAATAACGACCCGACAACACCGGTACATGATCGTCTGAGACTTGTTACGTTTCGGCTGGTGTATGGAACGGTGAGTCATATTGTTGTCTACCTGCTGGTTCGTTCTGCTTTTGCCATTGACATCCTAGGTTTGAAGTCAGGTGGTACGCTGTTCTCGAGCTTGTGATTTTCAATAAAGCAGGCAAAAGTTGAGCTCGGATTTACCGATCTCGGCACGACAGCACTAGTGTGTCCTATGGCTTGCTCTGAAAAGAGAATATATGGGCGTCTTCTCAGCAGCGTTGATTCGAGTAAAAGTAGAGCTGGACTGCCTAAGCGAGTCCTGGAGCTTTATCCTGACGAAGTTGGAAGGAAAGCATCGAGGTTCGGGGAAGCCGTTGTGTTGAGCCTGGAATCGAAGCGGATTTCTCTTTAAAATTCGATGAACGCTTTAATAACAGAGCTTTGTTGTCACAAAAGAGTTTGCTGTCCAGGGATGGGTTGGTGTAAACTTTAATTATAGTATATCCTTGGTGTTTACAAGCTCATCTCAACCGAAATATTCAGGCCGTTCACCATAGTTTGCTACTTGCACAACACGTTTCGTCGATTATACAGGACAGATTAGAGACATGTAACAGAATCGAAAAGAGAATATCCTCATTCCGTGTTTTAATTGGAACTACAGGTAGACATTTGTTCTAAAGAACTTTGCATTAACTAGTATTGTGCAAAAGAAAGAGCTAAGTGTTTTCCAAATCAAGGAGAGAGTGTGATTCAGAACGTCCTGCAGGACATTGCCTCGTTGAAAGTTCAGAAGAACCTAATACTAGTGCAAGCGAAGATCGACAACTTGCCAATATAAAAGCTTGAAAGCCTTTCCCTTCATCAAACCGTGTGTATAACATCCCTCGATCAATCTAAACATGCCCTCCCGCCGACTACTGGGACGAAGAACAGATGGAACTCTACCCTCTTTGAAGATACTAATTAGATCCCCATTCTCAGTATATAGTGGTACAAGCCCAACATATCCACTCCTCGTCCCACACATCTTTTAATAATCAAGAACGCCTAAAGCCATAATATAGTGCTCTGGCATAGAGTCCAGCATGTCCTCTTGGGTAAGAATAATAAATATGCTGTTCATATCTTCCCGCATGGCCTTGTATTGCTCGCCATATTCTGCTAGAGCCTCTCTGACTATTTCCCACTTTTTTGGCAACAAGCGTTCTCCATTTGACTCCGAACGGAGATTCGCCAGTCGGATGTAATGCAAGATCCTCAGAGATGAGATCTATTTCATCGAAGACCTTGCTAGCTTCTGATATCTGGAAATAACCCCTTGGTTTATTAAATGGGGGGGACGTAGCGACGCGTTCAATGGTGTCCACAACACCTCCGGAAATAAGTAGTTCATCCAAATACCCGAAGCGAAGGTTTACTCGTGAACTGCCTCCCGCATTATAGAAACCACTGTCTACAATGCCCAAGGGAAGCACCAATATTGTAAGAGTAGGGACAGGTGTGAACAAGCTACAAATCCAGGAGGGAACCTTTGGGTCCGCCGGTTTAGTTGCTGATCTGAGTAGAACCACCATGTATTGGTCTTTCTCTACCAGAATTGAGACATGCCGGCGGAAGATTTTCCAATCCAAAATCTCGTAGTAATCCGGCTGGAGTTGCTGACGTTCTTCGGAAACCAAATCATTGGCAAAGCTAAGTAATGCGAAAAGGCGGTCTCTTGGAATTGTAGCCTCGGCTGCTTGGGTACAGTCAATTAGACTTAAAAGTGAGTAACCCGGAGATTCTGTACTGTGCACCGATTCTGCGGATTTGCCAGACACGCCGAAATATGCGCTAAAAATCGGTATTGGTAGAAGACGTTGTTCTCACGTCCGCCAGCTTGTATCTTTTGTTATTCCGGAATGGGAAGAAGAAATAGCTTCTTCCAGCAAAATGTCACTTGTAACAGGAGAATTGGGGGTGAGTATAGTGCTTACTGCACTTACTTGACATGTTCAAAGTAAGAACTCATAAATTCAGTGAATAATGGGCAATGTGATTAAAGCAGATGAAGTATAAAAAAGTTCGCATTTCGTTCAGCATTGCGAGATTGGCAATTGCTTGGCAAATGATAACAATGTTTGTTTTGACAGCCGAAGCTCAACACAGGGCTGGAGAGTTTAAATGTCCTCAGAGTGCCAATAAGCTTTGAATTTTCCGAATTCAGGGAGCCTCGGAAATAGGGTCCAGCGTTAAGCTATTTGAGATGCCTTCTCTTCCTCGGACCATGAGATTCCGCACTGCCTCGCAGATTGCTGTGCTGTGTCCCTCTTGGCGAAGAGAGGATTTTTGTAGCTCGGAGCTGTGAATTACTAGCAGGCGGAAATTGCCTTCTTCTCACCGCAACACTATTCACTGACGGCAGATGACCATGCTGCGCCGCTACTCCACAATTTCTGTGGAAATGCTCCACTGGCTGGAGAACTTCTCCTGTCACGGGATGCGGGGTTCGGAGCTGGCTTTTCAGCGGGTGGTCTTGCTCAAGGCCGGCCTGGAACACCGGAAATAACGGGAATAACGGAAAGGACGAGCCACGCCAAAGACCTTCACACTGGCAAGTCTTTTACTGTAGGATCTATTATTACCTGAGACATTGAACATCGGACTTTGCGGAACAGACCTCCACGTGGATCACGTGCAGTCCCCCGTACCCTCGAAAGGAGACGTCTGAATAAGGTTGAAATGATTACTCTTCACTTGACGAATGCGGTCTAAATAAAGTTGAGTTTGTGATTACTCTTCCCCTAAAAGGACCACTCAGTTATATGCCCCTTAAGCCTCTCAAATTCCTGTACCCCTAATCACCCAATTCTCTTTCTCAACTCTTCGTCTCCGTCTTTTACATCCAAAATTTCATCCAAATTCTTGCCTCTACTCGATTGGCCCAATTGGCCTCTAGCCTCGGCATGGTGCGGTATCCGACGAGCTTCGGCGCTCCGCGAAGTCCGGCTTGCAACCGCTTTCTCTAGTCTGGAGTGCGTGCAGATTTTAACTCATGATGGCGTGGCTTCACGGCCCACACATTTCGGCTGTCATGGCTGAGTTTCTTTCCAAGCTCTGTTCCCGGAAGATATTTATCTAACGGGATGTCGAAAATTTGCCCAGTCTTCTTGCTCCCAAGTATTAATAGTCACGTGCAGCTCTCGCTTCGGCCGAGCAAGTTTCCCGCCAAGGTTTCCCAACCTCACGCCATCATCCTTTACCTCCAGCTGCCGATACAGAATTCACACACGCACCTCAGATCTCCAGCTCCCCTTCCCGCCCCTCCTCTGCATCGGCAAGGACTTGGTCCGTCTTCCAATTGCCCAATCCGCATTGCTGTCGTGCGCAACAAGGACTCCACGTCCCCAGAGCTCACATTCCCCGCATTCTCGGCTCGAAGATGTGTTATTCCCACCAAGCCCAACGCCGCATGGCCCACAAAGTTCACAACCCTTCCACTGGACCGGCAATGGCGCTCGGGTCGTCATCCAGTAGCCCGTCGTGGCGTTCGTTGTCCAGGACACGAGTCGTGACACGGGAAGCATATTCGAAATTGTCTGTGGTACGCAGCTGCTTCGCTCGCCCCCCTATTGGCCAAGCAAGAAAGCGCCATGATTCCGTTCCGTTACTCCATGACGTGACATGACTACCCTTGCGACGTCTCATGTTCGAGACGTCGAGATATTGAGCCCACAACGTATGCAGTTCGTGTCAACACAAACCATCCCCTGAGCCTGCCTCTCAACGTTCCTCAAAGGGACACCAACGGCCTGAATGGCCATTGACTCCTCGGCCTCAGCACAACCAACCTATGGAAGTCGCCCCTGGACGACCTAATATCCGGCCAGTTTGGTCCTTTCGACCTGGCCTGAAGCTATGGGCTTATGGGCGTTAGAGTTGGATCCACTCTCAATTGACTCCCAATTGAAACCAGCTGCATCCGGATAGTTCACAGATCTACAAAAGACCCAACGCCAGTGCACCACGCTTGCACTATTTTGGACAGCTTCCCCTCAAGGATTTGACCTCTCAAGTTGGCCAGCGTCACCTAAGATCGCCTGATCCGCTGGTAGCAGTTAGCATCGTGAGTACTGCGACTTCTTAGCTGGGTCCCAGGGGGTCCGCAAGTGCGGAGATGTGGAGGTGAACCCAAGCTACATAACTATTTGAAGCCCCCTTCCCCAGATCCAGGCCTTCTGTGTATCTCACTGTTTGTGTCTCCCGTCTTCCCATTATTGCAAGCTAGCTCGCTTGTCTCTTCCTTCCGTCTCCTTCCAAGAAACAATCCCTTCCAGCAACACTCCGACGTCTCCGAGATGGCTACAGAACAAAACGCTCAGGCTCGTGCAAACGGGAATGGCGACCCTTTGGAAAAGGATTTCTCTAACCAAAACAATGGATACACAAACGGTGCGAACACATATCACATGAACGACACCAACATGGATCACGACACCGCGTTGGGGAGGATCCGTACCGCTGGCAGCATTTCCATCTCCCCCGAACTGTTCGAGAAGATCTATCTCTCTCCTCAAAATTCTGTTAAAGGTGATCTCCGAAAGACCTTCGGTAACCCTACGCCTGTGTGAGTTTCCATCGTAAGCAATGAAATTTCTGTTCGCTAACATATTGCCAGCGCTCTTCTCGGATTCTTGCTCTCCCTTTCTCCTCTTTCTTGCGACTTGATGGGCTGGCGAGGCGCTGGAGGCAACGGCGCAGCTGGAATGTAAGAGCTCTCCCTCCCACCCTAATATCCTCGCTAACCCCTCCCAGCGGTTCCTACTACTTCTTCGGCGGCCTCCTCATGATCGTTGGCGGCTTCCTCGAGTTCATCCTCGGCAACACCTTCCCCTTCGTGGTCTTCATCTCCTTCGGGGCCTTCTGGCTCACCTTCGCGGCAACCTTACAGCCCTTCTACTACGCCTATGGCCTCTACGCACCCGCTGGGGAACCTGAAGCCGCGGGTCTCGGAACAGTAGGCTTCACCGCATCGTTCGGCTTCTTCCTTGTCTTCATGGGCGTGCTCTGCTTCATCTACCTCATCTGCTCGCTGCGCACAAACGTCGTCTTCGTCGTCATCTTCTTCACTCTCGTCATTGCGTTCGGCCTCCTGTCTGGCGCGTACTGGCAACTCGCTAATGCTTATGGAAACGGCAACGATCCAGCGACTATTGCGCTTGCGGGCAGGCTCCAGAAGGCAGCGGGGGCGTTCACGTTCGTTACGGCCTTGGCGGGCTGGTGGATCTTCTTTGCTATCATGCTGGCGGCGCTAGATTTCCCGTTCCAAATCCCGGTGGGTGATTTGAGCACAATGATTAAGGGGTACAGCGAGAAGCAGAAGGCCAAGGAGAACATGGTTTAGTACCCAAGATGTCTTTCTTTGACTGGGGAGCGGGGATTCGGATCCATCTATCGTGGATGGAAATAACTAGACTGTGGAAATGGGTCGGCTGTCTTGATTCTCGAAGAGAGACACGTATTGTACATAGTGTTGTGGCTTCGCTGCCATTTTGGTTGGTTGATTACTGCTTCTTGGAACGTCACAGTTCGGATAGCCGGGGTGCATTGGGAGGCCTTGCTGCGGAAAACTTCATCACAGTATCCTATCTAATACGCAGCACAATCTCAATTACCAAAACTCCATCATCTTGCTTCTTTCCTCGCCAAAGTTGTCACGGCAGTCGTGGAAAGCGTGGGGAACTCCATTTCTGGGAGAGCGTGGTGTCCATGCGTAAGTGGCGTGATCGAGCACCCGTCGAGCCGCACGGCGAATTTCCTTTCATCCGCGCGCTAATTTCCCCTTTCTTCTGTGGTGAGTTGATCTTCGAAGCTTGTTAGCCACCTCTAAACCTTCTTTGCGATTGGCGTTTGGGCCGTGCCCCTTTTACCATTCTGCAGGCGCCCCCTCGCCCCTTTTATGCAACGTATACTAAAGTAAGAAAATCCTCCTGCCCTATGCGTCTTTCCTAGAGAGAAGGACGGATAGCAGTCACTAACTGTCTGTTGTCAGCCTTCGGCCCTCTGTCAATTCTGCAATCGTCCTCTCGCAGAGGCAGTGCTTTGACTCTCAGCAAGTTGAGACTGTTGTGTTGAGATCTGCCTTTGAAATAGAGAATCAGTTTGAGGTCCCAGCACCCTCCTTGGAAATCGGATTGTCTTGTGGGAAGCTGCTTAATTCGCTCTATTCAGTAACAGCAGGAATTGAAAGATCTACAAAGGGCTCTCATATTTGTGATCACGTGTGGTGTATTCTTGACAATTGAACTGCATTGTAAACGGGTGATCAGGAAATCGATATTCAGTCTAAAGATATAAGTCTAATAGTAGTGATAGAGGATATATCGGCTGCGGAAACGAACGGGAAAAGGTCACGTGACACTCAAATTGACAATTCTCAACCTGGAAATCCGATGATGTTGCACTGCGAGATCTTATCGATTTGGCGCTACATCTCAGTACTTCGGCTTTCCCCTGAGGGGACCGTATATGGACGCCACGCGCCTCCGCTTAGTCGTGATAACACCCGCCAAAGTTGTCAGCGAATCCAGCCTGGAAATCAAACCCCGATTAATTTCTTTAATAGCCAGCACACTTAGGTTCCCTTAAAAACAACATTAATTAATGCGCAGTCTATAGGAGTGCCCTCTATAAGACTCTAAAAATTTAATTGGCATTATTATGGAAATGAATATAGAACACGTTGATTTTCGGCCCTCATTTCCGTGTATCACGACTAACCGGAGGCGCGGTGGACGCCTATTTATGCTCGCTTAGTTTCAAATAGATAAGAAAGCGGCGAAGCGTATGTTCCCCTCCTGGTTGGACTTGACACGGCCCCGTGCTTGCCGCCTAATGCACACGCGGGAAGATCGTCACAAATTCACTTATAAAGCCTCACGAGTCACGATCCATTTTTTCTTTTCTAAATCTCAACGTTGCTGTACGAAGAGAATGGCAGCTCGATGTTTGCGACCTCGCATCGCGTCCCGCCTTCGTTCCACCTTGGCATGAGCCGATGGCGCCAACCAACTCCCGCCTGCGGCGCCGCATCTACATTCCCGTCTTATGCTCAATGACGGCGCTCCTCTGGCTCTTCTTCAAGCGACCACCTCCAGCAGGGGATCTTGTCCCCGATTATGGGACTCTGCATCCGCTTCGCCCCAAACCTTCCCTAGCAATCGCGACGCTCTTTTGTGGTGAATCATATGACGACGATTCCTACTTCGACTTCACCCGCGTCCTCACCTACCAACTCCTGCATGACCCAGCAACCAGCCTCAACGCCTCCATCCCCTTCCTCATCCTGGTCTGTCCCGCGGCACCAACATGGCAAAGGGAGCGTCTCCGTGCCGACGGCGCAACCATCATCGAAACCGCCGACCTGAACCTCCCAGGCTGGATCCACACCGGCGTGACGCGCTGGAAAGACCAGTTCCTGAAGCTCCGCCTCTGGGAAATGGTGCAGTACGATAGAATCCTGTACATGGACGCCGACACCACGCTGGCGGGCCCCATCGACAGCATCTTCGACGAGGAAATCGTCAAGCTCCCAGCCACCACCCTTCCCTCGAGAAAAGCCGAGATAAAGGGCGATGAGGCACCCCTTCCGGCGAATTATGTCTTCGCAGCGAGATCGAACAATGAATTTACAGGCCAGAGAGATCATCCCTTCCCTCCACCACCAACCACGCTCTTCAGCGCGGGCTTCTGGATCATTGCACCGAGCAAAGAGATGTTTGATTATCTGATGAGTGTTACGGGTCATAGGAGGAGGTTCAACCCGACGACGATGGAGCAGAGTTTACTGAATTATGCGTTCCGGAGGGAGGGCGCGATGCCTTGGATGGAGGTAAATTATAGGTGGAGTGCGACGTGGCCGAATTTGAAGGATTTGGAGGGAGGCGTGGTGACGTTGCATGAGAAGTTGCAGTGGGAGGGGCCGGTGGAATTGCAGGATTTGTGGAAGGAGAAGAAGAGAAAGATGGATGCTTTTTTTGCCGAGAAGAGTTGAGTTGTATTGAGAGAAACCGGAAACATAGAATTCACTGTGCAGGTCTTCTCTTCTTTGGTCTTTTATGTTTCCCAAATCTCTATATAAGGTGCAGGGAAGACAGTTCTGGCTCGCCAACCTTGTTCCAACCCATTTCAAGAGAGAGATTATTAGCAGCGAAAAAAGTTCAACAATGTACGAAGACTCTCGGAAATAGCTGTGTCTATTTGCCGGCAAAAAAGACGTTTCAGCCCAGGCTTGGCGATATTCCACCCTGGAACGTTCCGTAGAACGTTCCGGCCGGTATCGACTGGTATTAGTGTTGCATGGCAACCGCATGCTAGTGGTCACGTGCAGGCCCACGTGACTACACTCCTGTATTTAAGCTTTGGCCACTCGTGCCACACCTCTCTTTCCTCTTATCAATCAATATATTATTATTACAATATAACAACAATGTTTTATTGTAACAATTAGGTAATATCGGTAATAGAACATTCTAATCGTTCCAAAATGGTAGGGGTAGGGCAATAATAACAGGGGTAGGCAAATCCACTACTAGTTCTCCTACTATACTCCCTTTCTTATTTTTTATTTATTTATATAATTAATTTATCTTGAGTATATCCTTAAAATATCTTCTTTAATTAAACTAGACTATTCTCTTATATTATCCGAGATAGTAATATCTTTTATAAACTATTTAAAGAGGACTTCCCCGATTTAGAAGCATTTTTATTATATATTACTAAAGTAATTTTTCTTTTTTTAGACTAATTAGAGAAAATTATATAAAACTATAAAAAAGAAGCTTCTATAGCCTAATTAAGATATAATACCTAAGTAAAAGCTAAAGAAGTAAAAAGAGATTCTTAATAAAAAGTAAATATTAGACCTAGCTATTCTTATTTCTATAGTATTTAATTATATAGCTAAAAGAAAAAATAATATTATTAGTTAAATCTCTATTTATAAGATTAATAAGAAGCTTAAAGCTCGGAAAAAAGAAGCTATTTCTGGCCCAGAGAATTAATAACTGAGAAAAATAAAGCTTTAATAACTATAGAAAATATTACTTCCGGAATTTAAGAAATATATCTCTATTTTCTCTAAAAAGAAATCTAATATTCTTTCTCTTTATAAATTATATTATTATAAGATTTAAATTAAAGGCCTAAAAGAAACCGAGAATATTAGATATTAATTCCTTTAGTAATAATTTATTTAAAAGCTTCTAGAAATTAAGTATTTCTTAAAAGATAATTTAGCTAAGGGCTTTATTAGAACTAGTTAGATTCTTTTTACTTTACTAGTTCTTTTTATAAAGAAAATAAATAAAGATTTATATTTCTATATTAATTTCTGCTATCTAAATAATATTATTCGAAAGAATTAATATTTCTTTTTATTTATTAATAAAACTTTAAATTAATTATTTGAGACTAAGATTTATACTAAATTAGATATTTACTAAGCTTTCTATTATATAGCTATAAACCCGGACTTTTAGAAACTAATAATATTTCATATTTACTATAAAGTATATAAATATAATATTTTCTAGGAAGGCCTTATAAATAGTCCGGTTATATATTAATATTATATAAATAATATATTTTTTTAAATATCTAAATAACTTTTATATAATATATCTTAATAATATTCTTATTTATTTAGAGAACCTAATAGAATATAAATAGTATATATAAAAGATACTAGATTATTTATATCTTACTAATCTCTAAGTAAATATTAAGAAATCGGAATTTAAAATTATATATATAAAATACTTGAGCTTTATTATTTCTATATCTAATATTAAAGTAAATTCTAATAAAGTTAAAGTAATATATAACTAGTAATTCCTAAAAATAATTAAAAAATATATAGTTTTTTCTTAGCTTCTATAACTTTTATAAATATTTTATTAAAAAGTATAAATGAATTACTAGATTTCTTACCTTATTTATAAAAAAGGAAATTTCCTTTAAATAATTCGAATAATATTAAAAGGCTTTTATCTATCTAAAAGAAGCTATAATTTCTATTCTAGTTTTATAATACTATAATTTAGATCTGCTTATAATAATAGAAATAAATATATCTAAAAAAGTAACTACTAGCTTATTTTCTTAATAAAACCCAGAAATAGGCCTTTAATATTTTATAGCTTATTTTTCCAAAACTATATTTCTAGTAAAGCTTAATTATAATATATATAATAAGGAAATACTTATTATAATATAAGTACTAGAGAAATAGAAAGCTAAGCTAAAGGGCTTTTAGAATACTTTCTTTAAAGTTTATTCTAATTACTATATCTTAGAATACTTTATAACTATTAAGAAACTCTTTTCTTAATAAGCTAAATGGGCTAAGCTCTTATTTTATTATTATTTTAAGCTTATATATTATTCTAGAAAATTAAATAAGTAAGTAAATGCTTTATTATAAAAATAAAATAAAGTAAATACTTAAAGCCAGATTAAGAAAAAGCTATAAACCCAAGTATTTCTCTCTAAAAATAAGATTAATCCGGAGATTATTTATAACTTATAGCTTATAGTAATATTTTATAAAATTAGTTTACTTAATTCGGAATTTGGCCCTAAAAACCAAATATATACTAAAGACTTTCCGGAAGAAAATATTCTTATTAAAGATATAATTCCCCTAAAAAAAGGTATTTTCTTAGAAGCTTTACTAGTAAACTTTATTATAATAGCTCCTATAGAAATACTATTAGAAGCTCTTACTAAATATAGTAGTTTATAACTTATAAATAAGATCCTATAAAATAATTATATATTACCGGATCTAGAAAAGCTATATATAATAGCCTAAGCCAAAAATAATATCTGGAAATTATAAAATAGCCTTCTTTTATATTATAGAAAACTTTATATTATAGAGAACGAAATAATTCCTAAATTACTTTTATAAACTATTCTAATTTATAAAGTATATAATAAATTCCTTTCTAAATATCCTAGATATATAAAGCTCTATTAATTATTAAAGAAGTAATATTATTAGTTATTATAAATAAGAATATTAATTAATACTATAGTAATTATTATACTTATAAGAGATTATATATATCTAGAAATAAGAAGCCTAATTTACTTTATTTCCTTCTAGTTCCTAATTATCTCTAGTAATATATTATTATAGATTTTAAAAGCTATTTAGAAAGCAAATTAGGCTATAATATAATTATTATATTTATAGATTACTTATCTAAATACCTAATTATAATTCTAATATAAAATATAATTATAGCCAAATAGCTAGTACTTCTATTTTTACTTTATATAATATACTAAATAAGTATTTCAGAAATAATTATATTAGATTAGGAACCCTAATTTATATCTAATTTTTAAAGCGAATTCTATATGAGAATTAGTATAAAGCTCAAGCTCTTTATAGCTAATTATCTCTAAATAAATAAATAAATAGAGATTATATTTATATATTAACTATTATTAGAATAACTAGAATAAATAGATTACTATAATTAATTATTTATAAGCCTTTCTTTAGTATAAAACTATTAGCTAGTTCCTATTTATAACTAAAAAGAGCTATAAGCTTTATATTTCTCTAAACTAGAACTTCTTTATTAAAGCTAATTTACTTAAGAAGAAGCTAAATAGAAATAAAGCTAAAGTATTAGTAAATTAATTATATGAATTATAATAACTTATTTAAGGCTATATAAAATAAATATAGGAATAATATATAATATAAGCTAATAAGTATTACTATCTAATTAATTTCAAAGTCGGAAATAAAGTATAAGTTACTATAAAGTACTAGAAATCCAATTATTTAAGCTAGAAGCTAAGGAACTAAATAAAGGGCCTATTTGAGATTCTAGAATAATATAGCTACTTATTTCTTCTAAAACTACCAGAAATTATAAAGATATATCTAGTTTTCTATATAAAGAAGCTATAAAAAGACTCCTAGAATTCTTTACTAGATTAAGTAAATCCGGAATTACTCTTATTAATACTAGAAAAGAGTAAATAAAAGTATAATATTAAACAAGTTATTATAATTAAGCTAGTAAGAAATAAGCTAAAATATAGAATTTAGTAAGTTAGTTAGAATAAAGATCTAGTATAATATCTAGCTTTAGTACTAAGTAATAGCCTTCTGGTTTTATAAAGTTTCTATAATAATAATATTAATATACCAGAACTTTTATAAAACTTATAATACTAGCTAGATTATATAAAAAATAATAATTATCTAGAATTATACGAAAATAATAATAAATTCTTCTAAGTTATATAATAAAGGCACTGGCCTTTTATATATAACTTCTATATTCGAGATATTAGTTTTATTTTAGGAAAGAATATAATATAAAATTAGATAGATTAATAGCTTTTATAAAGCTCGGAAATAAGCTTATTATAAAAAGAAAAGTAATATTATAATTCCTAGATATCCGGTATCTGAGATATCTTACTAAATATTAGATATCTTCTAGATATATATAATATGGCCGCCTTACTAGAAAAGTATATTTGGAATATACTAGAAATATTTAGAAAACTAAGCCCCTTCGGGACTAGTATATTATAAGATATATATACTTTCTTATAGCCTCCTATATTCTAGTTTTCTCTTTTTTAGCTTTAAATTATCTTTATAAAAGACCTTTTACCTTGCTTTCTAAGCCCTAAATACTATACTTATAATAGAGAGTATATAGTAATATAAAGAGGTTCTTTTATAGAAATAAAGAACTACTTGAATTAATTACTAGTTTTTATACTAGTTCTAATCGAAAATTAGTATAACTAATTAATATATATTTCCAGAAGCTTATAAATAATCTTTAGGACCTTAGAAATATTTATATAGGTTTCTTATATAAATATTTATTAAATTCTTTTTATATAGCTATTTAGATTATTTTAATACAAGATCTAATAGGTAGTATTAATTTTATAGAATAGTACCTTAGTACTTTAGATTAAGCTAATTAAAATATTCAGATTCTAAACGAAATCATAATTACTAGCTAGCTCTTATACCTGAAATATAATTACTTTTCCTTCTTACTTATTTAGCCCTAATCTAATTAGATAATTTTTATATTTATTATCTAGATTATATTAGTAAAATTACTTTCTAAAATACTAAAAATTTACCTTAATTAAATAATTAATTAATTAAATATTTATTAGAATAAATTAATGGATCTTAGAAATAAGATTTTAGAAAAGAAATATAATTATAATATATATAGGATTATATATAACTTAAGGGCATATAATAAATCTCGGATATTATAGATATTAATTAGGGAAATTAGTAGCCTTTTAATTTTATAACTAACTATTATTTATATTATAAGTATTAGGCTTATAAATTACTAATTATATATATATTATCGGGGCCTCTTATTTAAAGAAGGCTTTCCTGGACTTTATAAAAGAGATAGAAATTAGTTCTATACTAAATTTAATACTATAGTTTTATAACTTACTAATTTATTCTATTATCTTATTACCTACTAATAAATACCTTATATATATAATATAGTTAAAGCTATAGTAATTAAAGTATTAGTAGATTTGGGCCTTTTTATTATATTATTAATTTAATTTAAAAGCACTTTCCTAAATAATTTTTTAGGCTCTAATAATATTATTAATAGTTTCTTTATTATAGAAATTAATTATAATAATATTTATATACTTACCGGACTTATATTTTAAGAGCTAGATAACTCTTTTAACCTTATTAGGGCTTTTAATAAGTACTAGATTTCCGGTAAATAGTTTTCTAATAACTTTCTTTTATTTATTTATATTAATACTATTAATTGAAATTAAAGAGATTATTACTTTATAGAATAATACTAGAACTTTTATTTTCTTTCCTATAAAGCTTTCCTATTTCTTGCTATTATAAATAATAGTATTAATTATATTTATATTATATATATAGAAAAATATATTTCTATTATTTATAAATTAGACTAAATTAATCTAGTTTACTATTATAGCTAGTAGGCCTATAGCTAGCAGGCTAGTAGCTAAGAGAATTATAATAGACTATATACTATTATTATAATTATAGCTAGTATAATAGTAAGCCCTAAGGGCTCTAGTAATAGTATTATTAGCCCTGAGAAAAATGTATTTATTAGGCTTTTCGAGGGCTTGGAGCTTCTTCTTAAAGGCCTTGCTATAGATCGTAAGGCGGATCTCCCGGGCTATTATACTATTAAATTATAAGGCTCGGGTAGTAAACAGGAATATAGTAATATATATTAGTAATATAAAATATATATAAATACTATTAGCCGAAGCTAATACTACTTACTACCTTTGCCTATAAGAATAGTACTATTAAGGAAAGTTATTCCTATTATTAATTCTATACTTCCTTACTAAGGAGCTTCTAGATAGATATACTCTACTATATATATTAGGCCTTAATATTAGCCTGTATTTACTAGATAACCTACTATAGCTGGTCCTGGTTATTCTTTGCCTCCGGCGCTTCGAGGTATGAGATAACTAATTTAATAAAGGAGACTATAGTAAGGTTCGGGATCTGTCTTTTCTTTCTATTACTATATGCCCCGTTGGAGTGGGCTTTGAGAAGTCGTACTTCTCGCAGGAGGATACGTACGTAAATCTGACAATTCATATCGCAGACTCCCACAATGGGCCACGACGTCGCCGGAATCGGTGCCATTGGGGGAACAGACCCCAAGGAATCGATTGCAGGTGTCGGGAATGCTGTGCAGGGCGTGGTTGTTGAGTTATTTCCAAAAATTCGATTTGGGCACGCGGAGATGTTTTCGGTTTGGGGAAGCTATGTGAGCTGAATAGGGATTTGGCAGGGGCACACCCCTTTTGGGTCCATTAAAGACGGCTGAAAGCGAGCCTCGGAAATTGAAGTGGATGTCATCGCATTTTCACGTGATTAACCTAAAGTCTCGCGTTCCAACGCGTCTCGTCTTCCACTCTCCTCACCAAATTTCATCCACTGAAGTCAAAGTCTCAGAGCGGCACGATAAAAGTATGGAAGGCTTTATAACAAGAAAGCGGTCACTTGCAGAGCTGGATACGAACGCAGGCCGCCTTCCATCCCCAGCTCCATCGTCCTCTCTCGTCCAACCATCCTCTCGTCCCGCGAAGAAGACCAAGACGGTTTCACGTGTGGCAGATTCAACCAGCAGAACGAAACGCACGAATAAAGCTTCTGCGAAGTCTAAGGTTGCGCAGACACCAGGACATTGCTCGTTGAACAAGAAGGAGTTTGGCGATAGGATCAAGAATTGCTTGGCCTTGGAAAAATATGCGGTGCAGAGAATGAGCTTCCAGGTCAATACATGTTCCTACATTGCACCTGTAAACGCCGAGGGGATTTGCTGATGGCAAAGCGCTTTGCAGGTAGAGATGGACGTCTCATTCTTCAGAAGCTTTTTTGGAGGTGATCATGGAGTTCAAATCACACCTGAAGGCAAGCATTCCCGATATCTGTCCCTCGATCGCCGAATCTGACATTAGGTAGTATACGACGAGAAGACGCCAGTCGTGGTTGCCGAGCTTAGGAACAAGGAAGCGGGAGAGGTGTTCGGCGTGTCGAAGATAAAGAATGGGAATCGATACGAAACTGTTCATCTTTTCAGGATGAGCGTAATTCTATATCCGCTGAAGCAGACTGCTTCAGTTTGGATATCTGCTTGAATGGCTGTTCCGCTCTCTAGGTGCCTTTGGATCCCCGACACCCGGGCGCTCAAACAGCCATAACAATCTACACAGCGTCCTGTCGAGGAAACCTCTTTCCGATTTGAAAATTACGGAGTAATGCAAATGTGAGATGGGGTCGATCACTAAATCGTGGGGCTTGCTGGCGTGCTAGTGCAATTTGTCATCCGGGCTAGTGCCCACTGGTCTTCCCCAAGTACTTATGTCTTCCAGCCCCGAAATTAATCATGCCTCGCTTCTCTTCCATTGTTTCCACTTCAAGGACGGCACTCCTCTACTGTATAGTCGACCCTCCTTTTCAAGCATCCTTTGCAGTTCATCGCCTCTCTACCGAGGGCTAGCTTTCAGTAACCCCCACTCTGTGCCTCCTGGCAGCGTCTTCCTTCCTCGAAAAGTCCCATATCCTGCAAACTGCACGCCAAAACCCTCAAGATGGTTAAGTCAGCAGACAAGCTCATTGGCAAGAAGATCATCGTCGTTGGCGGGACCTCAGGGTTAGTCCCATCGTCCCATCGTTTTCAGCGGCTTTCATAGTACCGACCCTCTTGCAGAATTGGATTCGGAGCAGCACAGGCATTCATCGATGCCGGCGCTCTGGTGACTGTGATCTCATCCAACCAAGACAACGTCAATGATGCAGTGAAACGCCTGAGCTCTCTTCACGCCTCTGGTAAAGTGGGCAATGTTCGCGATGAGGAGTCCTTTGTTGAAGTGCTGAAAAGCATTGCACCTGTTGATCACATCGTGTTCTCCGGTGTAGATCAAATCATCCGAGGCAAGCTCGAGGAGCTGGATTTGGACAGTGCAAAGCACTTGTTTGGCGTCAAATTCTGGGGCGCTCTTCTCATCGGGAAAGGTTGGCTCAGAATATCTAGACCACGTATTCAGAAGACTAATGGAAACAGCTGTCGCGAAGTACGACTTGATCAATTCGGGAGGATCACTCACACTCACCTCCGGTGGGGCAGCTTACAGACCCGGCAAAGGCGCCTCAGCAGGGGGGGCACTTAATGGGGGTGTGATATCCCTTACCAAAGGTCTCGCTGGCGACCTCGCGGAGAGGAAAATCAGAGTCAATGTTGTGGTACCGGGACTCGTGAAGAGTGAGCTTTGGGCCAAGATGGGCAAGACGGAAGAGCAGCAGAAGGAGCAGTTTGAAAATGCAAAGTTGCCGGTGGGGTTTGTGGCCACGCCGGATGATATTGCGGAGGCGTATCTATATCTTGTGAAGGCGGATTATGCTACAGGGACTGCTGTGGAGATTGGTGGGTTTTGAAGATTGAATGCGGATGATTAAGCTGACTCTTTTTAGATGGCGGATCCCGACTTTGAATCTCCGCTAAAGATGAACGGGTCATGAAGAGCAACGGTAAAGATGACTCTGTGCGGTCATTCGGCGGCTGTTGCCGTGCTCGATCTGAGGGATTGGCCGAAATAAAGCCCAAAAAGGCTCTTTTTTGCAACGGAATACTTGAAAACCTTTCATTTCCTCGAAAGTTCCCAGCTTCTTTGTTCCGATGTTAACGACAAAATTGGCCAATTTCTAGCGATTCAAAGATCAGGTAGGTATTACACACCCTGCTTCTGCCGCTCTACGAGCGAGAATAAAAAAGGTACTGCGCAGAGACGTTCTATGTTGGATAACGGGACAAATCAATAATACTATGAACTCTTTCTCCGGCTATAGCCATGGCCCGTCGCATAGACGAGCTGCTCCTCCCACACAGCTGCATGGCGAATCGATATCCTGCTAGCATTTCATCATGTCTATTTACTTTGGCATCAATGGCCACATTACGAGGCCGCATATGTCTTTCCTGCAACATAGTGCACATTGGCTGCTCGTTCAACCGTATCTTATTCAATTGACAATATTCTGCATACAAGCCACAATGTCCTGGCAGCATTCAATCAACTCAATTAGGAGTTCTCAAGGTTCGGAGTACCACACGGAGAGGTTCTATTTTTTTAATTTTTTTTGGAGAATTGCACAATCGATACGCCATAAACTCTTCCTTCAATAATAGCCACGTTCCAAACGCTACTAATGATCCACATCAACGTATTTCTTCCTCCAAACTGACTTTATAATGAATTAAGGAAGGCACCTTGATTATTTAAGGCGCTACACATCATGCTGCAACCACAGGGAGGATTAGACATCTACGAGATGAAGGGCAGGAGAATTGATGCCTATATAAGGCCATCGCATCGAACAAACATCCCATCTACGACAACCAAGGAGATGTCATACCCGGACCGCTCAAGTAGACATTAATCTGCATAGCCTGGAGCTCATCGTTGTAGAACTGGAGCAATTCGAGGGTATCACCAGTAGCACCAGTAGGCTCCAGCATGGGAACCGTACCCAGTTCGACCATTTGATCGATCCAAGCCTGCTGAGCTTCCTGGGCCGTAGTCATGGCGTCTGGGATGAAGGCGGACTCGGTGATATTTGCGTAGGGGAAGACCTTACCGGGAACAATGCCGCTGGTGATAACGAAGCCCATCTCCTCGTCGATCACCAGGTTGATTCGTGCGTTGGGGTCGGTAGGGTGATCGGAGGGCCAGTTGCAACCGAGAGGGGTAGAGGAAGCGTTTCCGTAGTTTCCGGTATCGATGACTCTCCAGCCTAATTCGGTGAACTGGCAGTTGTCGGCAACAGTGACTGAAGTGTTGCTGGCCGGGTTACTGGAGTTGGCGAAGAGGGCCACGCTGATGGCCTCTAAATCTGCTCGGCTGGGCTTGGTTCGATTAGCCGGGGGATTCATCAGGTCCTTGTAGTTGGTTGGAAGTTCCTGGGACGAGAAGGAGAAGCCGTGGTCGCCGCGGAAGCGGTTAATGAAGAGTTCCAGCTCGGTGATATTCTGGCCAATCACTTTGACTCGGCCCCGAAGAACGTTTTGGATATCGTTGTTGCCTTCGTTGATATCTAGGGCGAAGTACGCCGTGCCGTTGGTAGTGTCGATTGCAAGTAGGCTCGGTGGGCCTGCCTTGGTGATGGTACGCCACGAGGTCATCATGCCCAGGGCTGCCGGGTGGGAGTTTTCGGTGGCCCTATAGATCGTTGCTAACGGCAGGATGTCTGGATTGTGTGCCACCATGGAATCCAGGATTTTGGTGACCATGTTTGTCATGCACTGTCGGGAGCTGGAGCAGTTGATGTTGGACGCGTCGCTGCTCGACCTGCCGTTGTTCAACGTGTGTGGGTTCGACTGGTGGTTGTTCGACAGGGCAGGCATTGCGGACGCTTCCACCGCGAGGACCAGGGCTGCTGCTGCGATTACATGCATTTTGGCTCTGAAAATATGAAATGCAGCTAAAGCTCAAGCAAGTTTTTCGCGCATAAGGTGACTTCTAGGTCGAGCTGGGAACTCGACTGAAGGAACTGAGGTGAAGTACCAAGTAGAAAATTGAAAAGGAAAAAATCTCGATATATATATAACACAGATAATATCTTTCACCACAGTACAAACCTCAGAAGACCACAGGCTCCTGTCAACCAAAAAGCTGCGAGGATCCCCATGTTGTTCCTCAGCTTCCCCGCATTCCGATTTCCACCCCACCTCCGCATGCGCACAGCTCACGGCACTCCTCCACTATCCGACAGCGTAGAATCACCAATCCCTCATCTACCCATGTCCACTAAGACAGGGTTCTATAGATTTGGAGTGCCGAGGAGGAAACCAGACGCGTAATAGAAGCAACCGAGATCACAGGTGTTTTCTATAAACAACCTAAAGCAATTTGTAAAAACCGGAGATTTGACGCTAATACAACCTTCCGCACTATTTTATAGCGCGCACTACCGTTAATATCGAATACTACCCGCAACTTTACTAATATACCTTTAATTATAATAATAGATAGCTCAAATTAAAGCTATATACTAGATTCAGCTAATTATAAAAGAAATTATACTTCTGAAGCTTTTTAAATATAATAGTAATATAATTAATTAATGCCTTTATAATAACTTATAAATTAATATAAATAAAATTATTATATTATATAATATAATATAAAAGAACTACTTTATATTAAATAATACTTATAAATTAATAATTAAAGTTATTATAACTCGCTTAAAATTAGAGAAATATATATAAGGAAATATTTTTATTATATTAGTAAATAAACTAAAAATATAATTCTATTAATTATTTTATTATACAAAAAAATTAAATATATTTATAATAAAAGTAAAAAAGCGATTTTAAGCTAATAATAAAAGAAATACTCTAATATATTATTATATTTATAAAATATAATCTTATTTATTTTATTTTAATAAAGTAATAAACTTTATATATATATAATTAAATATATAATTAAATATTTAAAAAGAAATTTTAAGGCATTATAAAATATAAGCTTTATATATATAAAGCTTTTTATAAAGATTTATTAAAAAAAAATCAATATTAATATAAATTATTAAAAGAATTTAATTATTATAATTCCCAGATATCCGATATCTGAAATACCTGGCCAGATATTAGATATCTCCTAGATATATATAATATAACTACTTTACTAGAGAAATATACTTGAAATATACTAGAGATATTTAGAAGGCTAAGCCCTTTCGGGACTAGTATATTATAGGATATATATATTTCCTTATAGCCTCTTATATTCTAGTTTTCTTTTTTTTTGGCTTTGAATTATCTTTATAAAAGACCTTTTACTTTGCTTTTTAAGCCCTAAATACTATACCTATAATATTAATAAAGAAATATATAATAAGAGAATTAAAATTAAAAAAGTTAATTAAATAATTTCTTTTATTAATATATATTTTTAGTAAATATATTACTTTTAAAGAATTATTATTTAAAAGATTTAGAAAATATAATATATAAGAATTAGACTTATATTACATTTCTCTAAACTAAAAAACTATAATATTTATTATATAATAAATATATCTAATTATAATTAAATAATTAGATATTATAGTTACGTAATCTTATATATATAATAGAAAGTAAATAAGAAAACTAAAGGAAATATAAGAAGAAATAATAAATATTTAATTTGTATAATAATAATTATTAAATTATAAAATAACTTCTTTTAATTCTTAATTCTTACTACTTTTAATACTTATAAGATTTATTAATTATTTATATATTTATTTAAATCTTAATAATTCTTTTATTAAAGAATTTAAAATATATATTATTAATAAATTAATTAAAGAAAGTATTCTTATTATATATTTTATATTAATAATTAAAGAAGTTCTTAGTTTAAAAATATATAAGAAAAATAAAATAATTAAGAAATTAAATAAATAATATTAAATAAAACTTTCCAGTATTTATAAAAGTAATTAATATATTAATTTAATTTATCTAATTTTTTTTAGTTATATATTAATTTTTTAAATTTTTTTTAATAAAGCTTTTTATAATATTTAAGCTTCTTTAAATATTAGATTTAATAAGAATATAATTACTTTAAATCTTAGTATATATATTAATATTATATATGATTTTTAAAAAGTAAACTTTATAAGTAATAACTTTAATTAAATAATAAATAGTAAATAATTTAAAGATAATAATAAATATAAGACTAGGTTTTATAATAAGACCTGATTTAATATATATAATATTAAAAGTAGTTTTTAATTAATTCAAGTACTTTTATAAGTTTTTTTTTTTTTGAAAAAAAAAATCTTTAAATTAAGTCAAAAGAGTTTTTAATATTAAGAAGTATTTTATTAAATAAAAAGGCTTAGTTTTAGTATTTCTGGTTTTACGAGTTATAATATAATAAAGTATATTCTAATTAATCTCGATCTAATTAATCAGGAAGTACACCTATTAGTAGTAGTATTAAAGAATTAATATTTCTCACATTATTTAATAAGATGCGCAGCCAAAAAGTGTGCGTTCAGTAAAAGTAGAGGTAAAATCTCTGATTTTGCAAGATGTTTTATTGACTAGACACCCGGAGCATTAGTCCCCACATTCCGTAATAGCTCCCCAACGTTTCCCGAAGATCATCTAATCTCTCTCAAGTCCAAGTTCCAATAAAAGATGTTATATGAAAGGAATTACGTGGATTCTGCGTGCAGTACACTGATTAGATGACCCGCCGCGACCGTTCCGGGATCTTGCACTTCCCTAATTCGAATCCTACCCAGGTAGCTTCTCCACGTTTCCCGAAGGTTAGCCTCTCCTACGATTCATCCCTGTTTCTCTTCCCCACACGCCGAAATCCGGGAATTAATACTCGTGCTGCCCAGAATTCTGTCCTAGGCCTAGTGTTATGAGGGGAAGGGTACTTTCTAAGTGGTACAAGGGGGTTTGACGAGCTCATTTAATTCCTAATTTCGCTGACATTAGTGCTTTTGATTCGACAGAGCCCCTCAACTTTTATTTCCCGCCCCTAATACCCCAGATATAGGGCTAACAGGGAGTTCAATAGGCTACTTAAGTGGTTAGATACCTCCAAGAACCCTTTTTAAAATATCTTGTTCCCCCCAGACGCTGGAAGGCCACTCAGGCTGGGTCAACTCAGTCGCTCCTTCGCCCGACGGCAAACAGGTCGTGTCTAGCAATACTGCACGTACTGTATTTACATCAAACAACTGGGTAGCCGAAAAGCGGTCGAATCTGCTCTGGCTTCCTCTTACTCATCGAGCGACTGTGAGGCAAACTGGGAGCAAGTTATAGTCTTAGTATTAAATTACTGATACACTGGCCTGGCCAACCTACCATTCCTTCCGGCGCCAGGTTCAACTACTGATTTACTCGCTTCCACTCTCATTTGTCATGCGTCACTTATAGAGCTTATTAAAGCTCACTAATATTATTACTTAATTCGTTAGCTAATTCGTAATACACGCGTTACTTGATTTATAATATACGAGAAATATATACTTTAGAGTATATATATTAATAAATTTAATAGTTATAAGAATAATATATTATATTTTTTGCTTTTATAATTTGTTTTACTTATAAATTAATTATATAAATCTTATAAAATTAATAATAATAATACTTTTATACTTTTATACTACTTTTAATATAATAATTCAAATATTAATTAAAGATAATTTCTATTCTCGGATTTTAAAAAGAAATAAAACTTTTATAAAAGTAATATAATTTATAATTATAAAACATATAATTATAATTTACTTTACTAAAAATTATTTATATTTATATAATGCCTTTCTTTTTTCTAAGCCTTTATTATTACTTAGAATATTTACTTTTTTAATTCTTTTCTTATTATATATATATAAGTATAAAAATAAAAGAAGAAATATATAAATAAAAAGACATATAAATATATTATTAAGACTAGAAAAATTATAAGAGAATATTTAGAGAAGTTAGAAAAATATAAATATTACCGGAATTATAAAATAATAATAAATTTCTCTTATTAAATTTTGAAACTACTTTAAAAAAAAGATTTAAAATTTTAATTAAAGATTAATATAAATATGTATTAAATGCAAATATATAAAATAAATTATTTACTTTAAAGTAAAAAAGACTTCTTTATTTAATATTTCGATTTTATTAATTTATTAATAGTTTTAATTTTTATTATTACTCTTAATAATAAAAAGTATAAAGTTTATAAATATATTTTTAGCTAATTAATTATCTAGTAATATTTAATATAAATTATATTTCTTTTTTATAACTACTTTTAATAAAGATATTAGCTCTTAAATATTTAAAGTTTTACTAGAACTCCCAAAATAACTTTTTATAGCTTATATAATAAATATCTTATCTTATAATTAAGATAAATAATAATTTAATTAAACTAGTATAATTTTAAAGAAATATAGTCTAGTTTAGTTTACTTAATTCGAATTAAGGTTTAAAGCCCTAGATTACGGTCCGGATTTTAGTTTAATTATAGTTTTAAGAAAATTACTTTTAATATTATATTTATTAAATTATTATAAGGTATTTATTAGTAAATAATAAGATAATAAAATAAATTAGTAAGTTATAAAACTATAGTATTAAATTTAGTATAAAACAAATCTCTATTTCTCTTATAAGATTTACGGAATCCTCTTCTAAATAAGAGGCCCTAATAATATATATATAATTAGTAATTTATAAGCTTAATACTTATAATATAAATAGTAATTAATTATAATAATAAAGGGCTATTAATCTTTCTAATTAATATCTATAATATCCGAGGTTTATTATATATTCTTTAGTTATATATAACCCTATATATATTATAAATACTTAATTATTACTTAAATAAAATAGTTTTTAATTCAGGAAATAGCTTAAATCTAGGGCTTTAAAATAAATAAATATATTTATTTAAATTTATATTAAATA